GCCAGATCTGTCACCATTTTACAACAACACAAAAAAGGAAACCTTTTGTGTAGCGGACCGGTAGGAACTCCGAAGACCCTCATGAGCATAAGTTACACCGGATCATAATCTTCGACGCTCCCTCTATTAATTCCACCTTCCTCAATAAAACACGAGTTTCAAATAATCTATTTTGACGCATATCGAATGTCTACCCGCCTCTCGGTTACCCTCAAATCGTTCTTTTTGTGCGTTAGCTTATTCATGTGTCTCATCACCAATCTATGCTCCTAAAGCCTGCGTCTGTCTGCCTATTCCGCTTCCAAAACCGGCTTAATTTAAAAACTCCTTACAGATATACCGTCTTCTCCCTTTTCTCTCTTCAGCCTAGGAATTTGATGATCCATTCTCATCCAACCACTGCATTTCTTTCTGACGCACTCAGACACACAACCAACGTGGTCGTGAATGTGTATAGCTTCGTTCCGAATACACCTACCTTTGCTCCAGGAATGTGTTCTTCTTCGAAATTTTTGGGGTAGGTGTAAACAAATTCCCGCATTTTAACGAAATAATTCTGTCTAAGGGCATAGTTGAGTCGGTATCAAAAATTCTCATTTCAAACAATTTATTCACAGCAATGACCTACTCTCACGCCTTGGAAACATAATAAGACTATTTCGGTTATGGCAAATGGGACTTATTTCTCACAAAATGGAGTGACAAAACTCTTCTTTTTCCTTGAGACTGCATTAATTGCAAGGTCAACATTTTTATTCACCACCGACATGGAAGGCTTCTCAATCGCTGTTCCAGACGTTGGCATCCACACTCTAGCTCCCTTCTCCAGCGGTTTGATAATGGACTGCTCCAGCATGACCTTTGCCATCTCCTTGTATGGCTCGCTCACATGCTCTGGCCACTTATTCAATGTTCCTGCCTTGCACCCACCATCCAGTTTGCCTGGATTCTGCGGGTAGAAAATAGGTCCAATTATTAAGTCCTTGGGGAAACAGGCGACCCCGAATTTTTGTAAAGGTGGTCCTCCAGGAGCTAAGGGGTCTCCACCTTCGTATGGGTTAGGACCAAAGGCTCTACCACTCGGTTGCTGACTCACAAATATGCCTCTTCCTAAACACTTCTCTTGATGTCTCTCGTTCAACTCCTTTACTGACACTGAATTTAAATCCGAGTTGATTCCATCCCCAGGTTTCCATTCAGGAAGTGGATTGATTGCTACATTAGGGTACCCGTATCCCGTCCCCTTTTTCCCTGGGTTTGTATAGAAGTTATGCAGTTCTGGTGGCCTCGTAATTTCTGTCTTCTCTGTCCCCATAGCTGGAATGCGAACAGTAAAGTTACCATATGTACTACCCACTCCACAACGCTTCTTGCTTGATGAGGAAGGTATCCACTCTTTTCCGAGGCGCTTTGCCTCACTTAAGCGTCGTGCGGAACGGTGAAGAGCAACTTCGTCGGTAAACGCTTCGCCCTCAAATACTCGCTTAAAGGACTCAAAATAGCCGTCAGAGTTCGCAGCTCTAGATTTCGAATGGCCACCTGCACAGTACATAGGTCGCAGACCTTTATTTAGTCTACTCTTGTACTCATATGGATCAGGATCCACATAGGGATCACTCGAATAGGGTGGTTGGCTAAAGACGCCAAGGGTTCGGAGAGCAGGCTTCAAAAAGGGATCGCTAGTCATTATGGTGTGGAACCTGTGGCCGAGTGGTGGGACAAGTAAGAATCAATAATTTGCAGGAGGGACTTTTAATCATCTTAAAGCATTCGCAACTCATTACAACGTTGAGCCGTTCTTTGGAATTATTTGGTTATAGGAATGCAATTTTCGCGATTAACGCAATTCTCGGCTTTACAACATAAGTCAATTTTATGTGTAAAAAAGCGACATTTCCAGCATCATTTATGGGTCGCTACACGCAATTGGCCGTGTTTAGCTAAGAATTTGTGAAAATTGTGTCATAATTTTATTTACGAGGTTTTCCATAATTTTCTTTATTTTTTACTGGAAATATTCCTGTGATGGGTTTGGCAGACCTAGCCCTCTTTGAGGTCTTAATGAGGCGCCCCGGAACAGTAGTGATATGCGTTTCTTGAAGGTGTAGAAAACTCGCAACGCCAAAGCACTGCGAATTACACAATAAAAGATGAGCGCATTTATTCCCGTACTGACCAAATATAGCGTTGTCAGCAAATATTACTCCTGTTCCAAAAAACTTTGCTATTCGACCTTCATATGGACGTCACCAGTCATTTTAAAAGAGCGTCGAAAACCTCCTTAAGAACTTTATTATTTGAATTAATCCTAAAAAGCCGTAAGGCTGCTAAAAATCCTGATTATGCACCACACCCTTGCATAAACTTGTCCTATTCAACGAACCAAAAACTGTTTCTTTCAATTCTAAGAAATATACCTCACATCCTCCTCTTAAGGTAGATTTTAAATCGTCAGATTCACCAAGATGGACTAAACATTTGATGCTTGTGAGTTTTACGTTCTTACATTCAATGACCACAGTGCGTAAATTAAGTTAATCAATAAAGCAATCAATAGATTTAGAACTGTCGAATCTAGTAACTCAGATAGCAAAACACCATGCATTAATTATGGCAAACAGATCATAGGATTTCTTTTTAAAACCGAGTTTAAGCACTTTGGTGCTTTGCAATTACAAAAATTTGAAAAATCTAATCTGCTAAAGGAGTTATGTAGGCACAGAAACTGGTCAGTTTCGTGCCATTTTAGGCTCTATAAGGAATTCAAAACACTTGTATGTGTCAAACACAGTCTTATTCTCATTGGTCTCATCTATGAGCTTTGGAGATTAGGCGTCTGTAAGTGCTAATGTTACCGGTAGAGTCTTTTAGCCTAAGTCGGTCAATTAACCCAGGTGGTCACATTTGCAATCTTTCAGTTCGAAATGTGGGTGTTTGGTAATGGTAGTGGGTCCGCTCATAAGAGTAGCATCGAGGAAGCAAACAAGCACCTCGCAGCAATGGCCGAGAAAATCGAGGAGCTTGAGAAGACAAATGAGGCTCTGAAGCAGGAGATTCTTGAAAAGGACGAACGAGCGACGCTTTGCATAAAAGTATGCGGCTAGATGAGAACACAACTTGTTATGTTAGTTGGACCTTGAATGTCTATCTCTTTTCAATTGTGACTGTTTTAAGAGCATTGAATGACCACTTTTGAAATCAGTGATCTTGTTTGTCCAGCTTATTTTTATTGAGTTTCCAGTCCTCCGAATAAACCGACTTTTCCATCTTTTTTGGTTACGCGAGTCTTTTATTTGGAACGTATTATTTGCAGCATCGTTTGCAATTGGTATATGGAAATGTATTTTTAGCTCTTCTGAGTTTCGAGTTGCCTTGTTTATTCAATGAATTCTTCCTTCACTACCCATCTTAGGAACTGTGGAAATGTGACCTTATTTTTTGAATTTCTGGCATACGCTGAAACCATCATTTAGTTAAAGTGCATCTACATCAGTGTTTTGTTTACTCTTCGGTGTGTTGGGATGTTATTCCTTTGTGATTGCATATTGTCGTCACCCTTACTATGGGCGTTGCAACTAATAGCACACCCTTATCTCCTTTGGAATGATACGGTTAGTAGTACTTGGCAAAGTGATCTGATTTTTTTCATTCAACTGTCTTCTGCGTGCTGCAAAAGTTATTGTCAATTAACCCATCAACTGTCGTCGATATTGATTTGCTGTTACCACTCTTGTATTGTCTTAGTTATAAGGTTGGACTTTGACCTCTCGTTATAACTTGATTTTGGCATTTTTCATACCTAAACATTCACGTTTAGTGCTATATCTGTTAAATCGTAACAACTATATTCTCAAATGTTTTGGATTTTACTTTGTATCACATTTTAATAATCGTTTACTTGGTACAATATAAGTAGCAAATTTTTCTGTCTTAGCAACTAAACGACAACCATCATACTGAAGTGGCTGAACTCAACTCCAAAATCAAGGACCACCTTTCCACTATTCGCACTCTTCAGAGTGACGTGAAGCGTCGCGACACCGAACTGAATATCTTGCGGCAACGCGCTCGCATGCTGGATGAAGTGATGCGCTACAAGGCTAGTTTGGCCAAGTTGACCATCACCTTAGAGCAGGCGGAACAATATTCGCGTTCGGTGGCTGGCCGAGCGGGTCTCAATGATCCTCGGTTAGCTGTTAATGGCAGCACTGGCAGTAGCAGCTTGACGGTATATACCGAGCCCTCGCCCCGTATCAATCCCTCCGGTTCCGACGTACCACCCTACTACTTAGTGGATGAGATGCCAGATGAGGAATTGATTGATCGTGTCGGTGAGGCGTATATCAATGGGGAGCGGAAGAAGGCAATCGGAGACGCAAGCTCCGCGAAGCATAATGGAAAGCCCACATTAATGGAAAAGGCGAGGGCAAAGGAAATGGCATAGGGTTCTCTCCCTCTATGTCAACGTTCTCTTCTACTGTCGG